GTATAAGAGACAGCTCCTCAGGGGCCCTCACGAGTTAAATGGCGCCGTCAATCCAGCGACCAAACCCCAGGGAATAAACGCATCGAGTTGTGGCGCCCGGTCACAGGGTGCTTCCCCCGGCACCGAGGGGAGAAGCGAAACCTGTTTGGCGGTTGGAAATCCGGCGTTGTTTTCTTTCTCCTTACCTGAAATACTCCCCGGGCTCGCCAAGAGGTCCCTGCACGCGTAGTGGCTCTCTCCGGTGACACTTTTTAGCCAGGGCGTGCTCATCCTCCTTTCCTAGGGTCCCACCGCCTCATCTGGCAACGTACTAGCGGGTGGGTCGGGTGTCTGCCCTGGGTGCCCTGCCTGCCCGCACGCCTTCATCTGCACCTGGGAACCCAGAAGTAGTTCAGGCATGAGTAGGCATCAAAGAATCCGTGCCAAAACTTGAGGCAAAAAAAAGTCTAAAAGGTCTGTGTTTCAGTGCTTGTACTGTTCACAGAATTCCTATGGATTTCGATACAGCGTAAGTGCAAACACCTAGTTCGATGAGGCATTTGATTGGACGTTTCAGAAGTCGAAGCAACAAGTTTATGTTAGGTTAAGATGTTTTCTGCTTGATTTCACGAAACAGTTACTTAGGAACCTCATGGGGATAAATTTCATGAAGCAACAGAAAGAATGAACATAGTTTCATGGATGCTGAAAGAAGATTGCTTAGTCTGTAGTGTTGTGCAGGATCAGTCAAGACTTACAGTTCTGGGAAGTAGCAGATAGTGCAAAAAATTAACTGCAAAAATAGCTACTAGCAATATCTTTGTCTCCTTTTTTCTTTTCCAAAAGGTTGTCATCTGTTAATGTTGCAATGGTTTAAGAAAAAATACATTTTTGAAGACTGAATTTTCAGTTCCTTTATTTTCAGAAAGGCATTTTGGATAGCAGAGAAAGGCATTTTGGATAGCAGAAACTCCATTCAGTCCTTAGAGCTGGACAAGCTCAGCTTATGGAAGTTCTTGTCTTTTAAAGGCAGATCTTTTAAAATCTTGCAACATCAAGCTCAGTGTTTGTAACAAAATAAGTACAGAGAATAATACACCTAGAGTATCTCTGTACTCTGTAAGCACCGGCAGTACAAAAGTCTTCAAAGTTGTTCATACCCATAACTAAATGCCCAGGCAACCCATTACATTTCCCCAAAGTATTTGCCAAAATATCATTTTTAAGAAACAACTGTTGCCCTGTTTTTGTTAAGGAATTGGGTGGTTAATGTAATGACCATTCATTTTGCTCAGAAGGTAGAGCTGTCTCTTGACTTTGACTTTACTTTGAAAAGGACTTAACTTATCTTGGCTGAGATTTACACCAGATACTCCATTTCTCAACAACAAAGGCATAGGTCCTGGGTTTTTTTAGTACACTCGACTAGGTTATTGCCTGCTCTGGTAACATAGTGTAATTTAGAGTGAAGTGAAAAAGTGTCTGGCTCTCTTAGTTATCGTTTACCTTCCTCAGAGAGGTTGTTATCTCTGAAGATACAGGTTCTTATTTTGCATTGAAATGTATGCTGTTTTCTGTTCGCATTAGCCGTTTCAGCAGTCTCTAGTTGCAATGACAAAATTGTTTGCTTTTGACTCTGAGTTCAGGTTCAGTCTAATAGTTGCAGTTTGAGCTGGGGCAAAAGTGAGAGGTGTTCCCAAATGAGTGCTGACAAAGCAGGTTTGTCGTGGGGGTTTTTTGGGGTTTTGTTTGTTTTTTACTGGCTTTTGTAAGTGACAGTAATGGCCTTCTTGCCTGATACTTGGACAACTAAGCTTTTGCTAACAGAATTGCTACGCATTTTTGGGAAGTAAACAGAAAAATACTGACTCAACATAACTAAGAATCTATCAAATATGTTGAAAATACTAAGAACAAAGCACCCTTTACCCTAAAGAGTAAAGGGTAAAAAAACAAAAAGCCTTTCTATTTGGCTTTTAGTGATGAACAGATTGAGTTTTGACGTTCTGTTGAGCTTTGTAGTTGTCGAAACTAAAAAGTATTTTACTCTGACCCATGAGGAACTTTGGTCTCCTAAGTTATTTGGGCTGCAAGCTGAAAACCTTTTGGTAAGAGTTTCACACATGTATCTTACATGTAGTTATCTTTCAGATGGCAGTAATCACTGTATTGGATATTGAACAGACTGCATCTTGAACTGTTTCGTTGAAATCATTACCACACTTTAACAGCATTTTTTTTTTCTTTTCCAGCTTTCAGGTAGAGTTTATTAAAGGCAGCCATGGAACGATTTGGAGTGAAGTCCGCTCCGTCACGTAACCGCTCGAAGACTGCTTTGTATGTAACCCCCCAGGATCGTGTAACTGAGTTTGGCAGTGAGCTGCATGAAGATGGAGGAAAACTCTTCTGTACTTCCTGCAATGTGGTTCTGAATCATGTTCGCAAGTCTGCCATCAATGACCACCTCAAGTCTAAAACACACACAAAGCGAAAGGCAGAGTTTGAAGAACAGAATGTCAGGAAGAAGCAAAGGACTCTGACTGCCTCCCTTCAGTGCAACAGTACTGCCCAGACAGAGAAAACCAGTGTCATCCAGGACTTTGTGAAAATGTGCCTGGAAGCTAATATTCCACTTGAGAAGGCTGATCATCCATCTGTGAGAGCCTTTCTGTCTCGCTACGTCAAGAATGGCAGTTCGATACCTAAGTCAGACCAGCTAAGGAAAGCATACCTGCCTGATGGGTATGACAATGAGAACCAACTCATCAATACTGAAGACCGTTGAGAAGAAAACTGTTTTCATCATCGTTGTGAAGTTTTGCATATTGATGGTGTGGTTTATTTTTATATTCATGCATATATACAGTGTTACATATTGGTTTTACAAGCTATTTTGTATTATTGTAGAAATGACAATCTATTTGTGAACTTAGCGGTATGCCACAGACTGTTGCTAACCCTGCTGTAGACTTCAGAGCTACATTGATGTAGAGTTCATGATGAACGCAGGGAATATGCCTGGCATACACCTTATCTGTGTTCAGTCCAGCTGAAACTGACGCTAAGAAAAAAGGCACTTGGATGGAGGACCTCACTTACCTAAACTGTGCATCTAAATACCCGAGGAAGATGCTGCGATAGAGATTGTTAATCATGTCAGTGGATTGCTTTGTCCAGTATCCTGCCCATGGGTGACGAGGAAGAAGTACTGCACATTTGAAATGCACGAAACTGTAGAATGGTTAGTTAAAATATAACTGCTCTGTTGGGGGAGAATTATTGCAAATTCCTATTCAAGTTTGGCTTACATTCTAAAATGAAAACCCTTTTTCTTCTAGAATACTCTCTTACCCTATTTGGTGCGACTGTGGATGTGTTCATTATCAAGCTTAAATAGCTTTGGTCTCTTGTACTGACCTCTGAGCTCCGCTCTTCTCATGAAGCTAGGAGTTCTGCAGGTTTACCGTGCCCGCTTTGTTAAAACCACTGTTTCATTGTCTCGGTTTAACATGTCCCCTTCAGTGTCAGTGCCAATCTTTGAAAGTTGAGTAGACAAACCAGTAACTGAGTGTGGTTTGCAGTGCAACTGCTGGCAAGTGCAACTTATGCTGGACCAAGGTCTTAGTAGAGAGGATTAATGCCTTTTTCTTACTAGCGGGACAAAGGATGCTAAATTTAAATTGGGGATAGGAGAGGCATGAAACTGTGGAGTTGAGAAAGCTTTTTTTACAGTGCACAGGAGAAGAGGCTTCTCCATCTTTCCCTGAAGGTCTCCTGCATCTTTGGCCTTGTCCTCAGCCTTTTAGTCAAAGGAGGTAAAGCGATTAAAATAGTTTTCAAAATAGTTACTGCAAAGGCTACTCTGTTCCTGTGAGCGCAAATAAGAAAGCGTGTATACTTTGAATCTATACTGGAATTACAGATGTGGGCTGCATTTCTTACTCTGTGCCAAGGCCACATCTATTGGACTGGCAAAAAAGTAAAATGGAAAAATGAAGAATTTTGATAATGTTACCTTCTTCCAAACCTAGTAAACTGTTACTGAGCTATTCCAAATTATTATGCCAAATGGTCCACTCAATGTAAGCGCTCTGTAAAGTTTTTGAATGGAATGAGGGAGCATTGTGCAAAGTGTTGGAATACGACCAATTCCTGCCTGGTCTAAATTTCCTTCGAGGTGTGCGGGGTTCAGGGAGGTACCAAGCATCATCTAGCAGCACAGAAATGCTCCACTCGGTGGATACAATGGCGTAAGCATGCTTTAACTCCCTCAGGTGGAGCCGGTTGCTCTGTTCAGCTTCCTTTCCCCAGTAGAGTTTCACAGTATCTGTTTCTCAGTCTTTCTTTTATTCCAGATATTTACAGCAATACTAAGTAATTGCTAAAAAGAGACAAAATAGCCCGCTTATTTTGTTTCTGTAGCTATTTCCCTAGCTATTTCTAGAGCAGTCTCTTTTGCTGGATTGAGAGAGACTTACATACTTAGTAAGAACTGGTTTTTGTGCAATCAGCTTCTACAGAAATGCACTTGTGTTTTTATAACCATTATAATCATGTCTTGTAGCCTTCTCATGTGAGACCTGTTCCAATAAATGGACAAAACTCAAAAGCAGAAGGCTGCCCATCCAGTGTACCAATACAGGGCTACTCAGTACACTGCTGCACCTTTGGTCTCTGTTGGAGCTACCAGGTCTCCATGCAGTCACAGCAATCCTGTCAGTGATACTGGTTGCTGGTTTAGAACTTCAGACAGAAATAACAGTAATCATTTTTTTCTAATCCTAGATATCAAAATATGCCTTCTGAAATATCGTTTGCTATTGCACAAGCTTGGGTTTAGCTTAAGATCATTAACTGCCTTGGGCTAGAACTGTTTTATAAATCTTGTTAAGCCAAGTGCAAGATACACTGCCAATAGCCTTTTCTGCCCTGACAATAATTGAAAGGGTTCTTTTTACAACTGCTGTTTCATTACAGTGAAACAACATCCTTGCTTTAATTTTTTACCTTTTTTTTTTTTAACTTTACAAATGCTATCTTAGAATTGAAGCAAATAGAAAACAGTGGAGTACTGAGAAAGCAGGCTTCCATTAAATAAAAGCATCTGGAGAAGATGGTATGATTGAAAGGTATAATCTGGGTTAGTTAGCTCAGTTCTTGCTAACACAGGATTTCACAGGCTGCACCCCATAACTGTTTTATGTAGGATTCAATGCTGTATGTTTTTTCCTTAACTGTCAAATTGAGAGACATTTTGAAAAGCTTAATGGCAACATTAAATAGGCTCTTGCACAACTGAAAAATATCGAGTTACTTTCACTTATAGTTTTGTGTAAAAATAAAAGTTAGCAAATCAAAAGCTTTTGTTAAAAAAAAAGAAAACCAGTAATTTTCAACAAGGTAAAGCAATATTAGAACACTTAGTTTCTCTAAATCTTACTCTATTTATAAAGCAGTCTATGTACAAAGCCTCAATTTACAGAATTGATACAATGAGTATTTTCAGTAATTATTCTAGTACCAATTTATTTTTAATGGATATTTACTGCAGAGGGTATGAGCCTTGTGAGGTACCTTATCGGTGCAGCCATAGGCTACCAACTCATAATTTGGAAGCAAAAATTGATTATCAGGATTTTGAATGGAACTGACTTGAATTCCAGTGTACAGCAGTTTATAGGACACTGGTATCTTAATAACAGAATATTTTGTTAAAAAAAAAAAAAACAGACAAACCCACAATGTTTTTCAAGCTTTATGAAAATCAAGATACTGATCTGTTGCAACAAACATTCATAATGGGGTAAAACTATGAAATATAAAGCACTTTCAGGTAATCTAGAAAGAATAGTAAGTAAATTTATATTCATGGACATAATCCAGATCATCAACAAGACAGTTACACTTACTTTCTTTAAAAGTAAAAATGGTTACATTCAGTCTTGGAACACTGTCCTGCAAACACTCAAGTTCAGAGCATAATTCTGCCAGTGTGTCTGTAGTTGGATAAAGCATAACCTTGTTTTAATTGCTGTTGATCTTTGGGAAGATTTACTGTGGAAGTTTTCTGGTATATCTAAACCTAAGTAATAACTAGTTCCTAGAACAGAGGCTGTGGTTAACAGTCTCCATGGAGTTTTCCTTTTTTCTGCAAGGACACTGCATTATTTTTCCATGTATTTCCTGTAAAGAGTACTCTCAGAAGTAAAGGGAGGATGGTAGCAATGTCTGCTTTTCATTTTACGTACATATGTAGGGACAAGCTATAAGGGATACTTTTTGCCAGGTGGTTTTATTAATATATTTGAAGCTCTAAATGTAATATAAAAAAAAAAAAAAAGAAAGAAGAAATATTTTCTTCTCTGATCATGTACTTAGTTTAGCCAACTTACAGCTAAAATTACTCTGAAGTGCTTTTCTTGGAACAACACTTTCAAAGAGTAAAATACAAACAGGAACATTCTCTGGTTTGTGACTACTTACATGTATGCACCATGTTAGTTTCAGCTTGCATGTTCTTGAAAAAAACATGAGCAAGTTCTAATATTTTTAAGCATTTTGAAGCCTGTAATTTGCCAGGTCCCTAGAGGAGGTGAAACATTCAACATAATGAAAGGGAAAGCTGTTTTTCAACTGAGAGAGAAACTTGGTTCTGCAAAGTATGAGATATTCTCATGATAGAAGGACTATTTTTAGCCAGAGCCCCTTTTAACAATTCTGTTGAACTGAACAGTGAAATGCTCCCTGCTAGGTTTTACAGCATAATGAACTGGTTTTCAGGAAAAAAAAAAAAAAAAAGCTGGAAGTTTGGCAAGGATAATCTCTTATTTATATTTACCTATAAAGAGAAGCAAGACTCACTGTTGTTGTGTTCACATTGTACTCACTGCTAACTCTGTGTAATTTGAGTGCTTGTTGTCTTTGTACAATTTCAAGGTTGTGTCTAACTTTCAAAATAAATTTTTTTTTTAACAAAGCTTCTCACTGTAATAATGCTATTAAAGTTTAGTCTCTTTGGGGTTAGTGAAGATGCTTTATTTTTGGTTCGGTGGTAGGGATGTTTTGCTGATGGTAAGTGGCCACAGAAATGGTTTTATTTAAACAAGTGATGAACTTATGATTAGATAATAGAGTGAGGCTGAAAATACCTGGATTCTGAAGTGCCACAAGACTTCTTGTTAGAACAATAAGACCAGAGTAAGTGATTTGAGTTTTTATATTAAAAAATTATTGGAAGAGAAATACTTTACTTTGTAAAGTTTTCACTTGGTAATGGAAAAATGGTCTTTTTTTAAAAAAAAAATAAAGGAATTCCTTTTTCATAGAATTTATGCATGATCTCTTATTTTGCCAAGAAAACGGATAAAGAACATGTGGTAGTTCACATATAATGGTAAAGTAAGACAGTAGAAATGGATGGTGACAGGAAAAATTAAAGAATCTACATGCTGTCATGGTAGCTTAAGCTAGCATCAAACTCTATGTTGAAGCAGTTTGTTGATGTACCTGTACAATCACACTGAAGTTCATCTCAGGACTGGCTCTCAGAACCCATTTCCCATCAAGTATGTGACTTTCTTCACCATGACAGAAATTCCCTCATTATGCCTTCAGCTGCAAACAACAGCAAGTGAAATAATTGTGAAGCATTTGACATGGCAGTAAACCGTTTGTAGGTATGGGATCTTGCAACTGCCTAATGGTTCAGGTCTTTTCAGGAAGGGCTTCTGCAATGTGGAAGAATCAGGTCTTTCCAAACTATCTGCAAAAAGGTCACAGATTGATCTCTGTCTCCCTTAGGGACTTCATGAAAAGTGGGCAAATAACATCAACCCATCAAAATTGTAAAGTGTAGGTTTGATTGTTTACATGTTCCTTTTCCTGAAATCTTACCTGTCTTGACATTTCATGATGGATCAGTGATAAACTTGTGCAGCCCCTTGACTTAGGAATTTTCTAATCATTACTTTCTCATTTTCAGGTCACAGCACATTAAGGTCAAGTTGCTTTTTGTTGCCCTTATATCAAATGAAAAAGCAGAACAGAAATAAACATACCCTTTTGTAAAGTTTCCTTGTGTGGATAACTCCTCTTTGAAACAGCAGATGCATACTTGCAAAATCAACATATCAGTAAGGATTTGTGTGGAAGCTGGTGCAGAATCAGATGAAGTATGTATTTAAAGTTTAGTAATTAGGCCATGCTAAATTCTTACGATGACATTTTACTTTCCTAACTGAATCATGCACTTTAACCCATATCCAAGATGTATTGGGATGAAGTATACATAACTGCTTTTAGACCACATTTATACTGATAATTAGGTTTGGCATTTGTCATTTACATTGGCTGAACAGCAAAGACTGGGCAATAAACAAATTTATGGCAGTTCTGCTTAAGGAATTGTTTTTTCCCATCCCACCATTCTTCTCTTTCTACAAGGAGTTTGGAATCTGTGGATCTTCTGGTGGTCAAGGCCACCTCTTTCATATTCAACAGCAGACAGCAACTATCATTCTGGTTTGACAGAGGGCAGTCTCAAGACCAGCATTGCCTCTGAAGCAGCTAAACATGAGCCGGCAGTGTGCCCGGGTGGCCAAGAAAGCCAACGGCATCCTGGCTTGTATCAGCAGTAGTGTGACCAGCAGAAGTAGGGGGGCAATAGTCCCCCTGTGCTCTGCACTGGTGAGGCCACACCTGGAGTGTTGTGTCCAGTTTTGGCACCTCAATATGAGAGAGATCTTGAGGTGCTGGGGTGAGTGCAGAGGAGGGCAACGGAGCTGGTGAAGGGCCTGGAGAATAAATCCTATGACAAGAGATTGAGGGAGCTGGGACTGTTTAGCTTGAGGAAGAGAAGGCTGAGGGGAGACCTCATCACTCTCTACAACTACCTGAAAGGACATTGTAGAGAGGTTGGTGCTGGTCTCTTCTTGCAGCTGATTAGTGATGAAACAAGGGGGAATGGCTTTAAACTGCAACAGGGGAGGTTCAGACTGGACATTAGGAAAAAATTTTTCCCAGGAAGAGTGGTCAGACAGTGGAACAGGCTGCCTAGGGAGGGGGTGGAGTCACCATCCCTGGAGGTGTTTAAGGGTTGTTTGGATGAGATGTTGGGGGATGTGGTGTAGGGGAGAACTTTGTAGAGTAGGGCTGAAGGTTGGACTCGATGATCCCAAGGGTCTTTTCCGACCTGAATGATTCTATGAGTCCATGTTATATATTTATACTTTAATGGAGTTCCATAAAATAGAAAACTAAGTATAAAATATAAATTATAAACAATTACTGAATAGCTATTTCAGTCTCAGTTTAGCTTTTGGGTGTCCCAACTCCATGCTCACTACGTTTCCAAAGCCAGAAACATTTGAAGATTTAGTCTTGCAAAAGAATATCTATTTTGCTAGAAGATTTCTGCTAGATCTGTAGAAGGACACTAGGAAGATTACTGATTTCAATTGGTATGCAAAGTCTGTGTTCAGCTGAGCCAAACAAACACAAGCAGTTTAAATTTATTCATCTTTTTGATGTATCTAAGTACTTCGCTCTCTTTTTGTGTCTTCTCCCGTCTAATAGTACACAGGAATGGGGAGTAAAAGCAGAGGATTAGTTGTGAATGTAATTACAGTGAAATGAGCAGTACTCTTATATGTGCTCCATGAACACACTAAAATAAGAGTACACATCTGTTAGGAAGTTTCTAGTATCTTTCAATGGATACTTCTACTTTTTCCTCCTATCTGATCCTTCTGTTCAGTGAGAATTATTGTGTCCCTGAGGACACAAGGAAAGGAAATCATGCATTTTCTCCTAACCAATAGAGTAGCTGACAGCAATGCAGTGAAGAGAGGGTATCATTTAGCAGTTCTGTTCAAAGCTGGAAGAAAAATAATTAGAAGCTTTAGAGGTTCTTAGGGAGGGTTTGTATATTGGTTTGCCTCAAATGTTTTTCTAATGTGTCCTTCAGTGTACAGAATAACTCCCAAATTCAGTATTAGGTTTCACCACAGTATATGAGACTTCCTTGCCTTAGTTCTTTTCTGAAGCCTGTCATTACTGCAGGATGAATCCAATAACTAGAATACCCATGCTTACACTTAGTGAAGTGTTTTATATGCAGCAAAACCCTGAGTAGATTCTTAACCAACTCAATATTGAATGAACTGACACCTCTTGTGAGAGCATCCAGGCCCATGCTCAATCTGCATTTTAAAACCTGGCTCAAGATGTGTTCTTTGATTTCACAAAGCTTAGCTCATCATGTTAAATGGAAATCGCTCAGGAAAAAGCAAGAAGATGGAGAGAATCTCATATTGTGAAAAAGGAAAGGACTTGCATAGAAATGAAGTAGCTGATCTCTCCTTTAAGAGGGAGTTACAGTGGTAAGGCATGAGAACAGGCTGCTGGGGCCACCCCATAGCTCATGTGGCAGCCGATGCTACTGCAAGCTGTGTGATCACTAGTGACAGGTAAGGCTAGATGCGAGACTAAATTATTGTTCCTTTCAGATACTAAAGCTTCTTCATGTAGTATTATGAAGGTAGTTTTCAGTAGACTTACTGGAGCCTGCTGTAAATGCCATGTCTCTCTGTGCGGTTAGAAGCCAATGCCTAACCACCCGCAAACAGGGAAAATGCAACCCCCAAACACAACCTTGGTCTTGTCAGAAATAAAACTGAGGAACATTGCATAGATTTTTTTTTTCTTTCTTTCCACTTGCATTCAGTAAAGAAGCAGCAGACATGACAAAGCAGACTGAATCAGGTGAAGAAAGTTTCCATTAATAACAATCTTCTGGTCCAAATTTTACTCCATTAGCCTTGGAGTCTCTTCCTGAAAATACTATCCAACACACAGAGAACCGTGCCAACTGTTGCATGTGAATTGCACTGAATTCTCTTGGTTCTTTAAATACTTGGTGTCAGGATTAAGTGGAGGTCTGATTTGCATATAGCAAAGTTACTGAGTTACTGCAGATAGTGGAAATCAGTGCCATCTAGTGACTTTTTTCTGCCATCTTCAAACGATACCTCATCTTGAATCAAATGCATATGCTCCTCCCTCTCTTAGTTATACTCTAATGGTAAGGAATGAGTTAGGACTCTCAATCCTTCCTTTGGTAAATAGTTATTTTATATTTATTTAGTATTTACTATCCCTTGAAACCAGCATTTAAGGGAAAACTAGAATATTTTAGTGTCTCAAATTCAGGGATTGATTTTCTCAAAAAATTAGAATATAAGTTACCATTTGGATATCTAAAAGATTTTATTTATAACTTTAAAATACCGCAAAAATAAAAAAGCTCCTAGGAATGTCTCAACGAGGTAATAAAGTCTTAACAAGAAAACATTAAAAATTCAGATTCTTTGCCATCTTCAGGCAGTTTCTCAAACCACCATGAAACAAAACCTCAAAACAACCCTATTCCTAAGAAGAAAGGAGATAAAGGAAGTAATGAAGTGTCAGTGGTGATAATAGAAGTCACATTTGCCAAAGCCTTTTAAAGAAAGGGGCTCAAAAATATAGATGAGGACCCAAGATATTTGATGTTAAAAAAAAATGAGGTAAAGAATCCTCACAAGCCACATAGAGTGCATGCTAAGACTAAGTATAATAGTAGAAGCAATTATCCCTTATAGTGCAGATTACAGTAAATTAATCTAATGAAAATTAAGACTATTCAGACATGTGTTTTGGTCATCTACCAGCTTGTGAATAGTGGTTCAGCTTCTTAATTTGTTAATGCTGAATTAGAGTAATACACAACTGAACAAGTTTAAAACACTGTTGTGCATCCCTTCTCTCTGCTATATTGCTGCGTATAAAACCAAAACCTCAACTGCAGGAGCATCTTTCAAAAAAAAAAAAAAAAAACACAAAACAACAAAACAAACAAAAAAAACCAACCACCACCCTGCAACTATGTTTGTTACACTGTAAGGGGAACCAGAGAAGGGTGAAAGATGTTTTGCCTTGAGTCAGAGGAGTTCTGAGTTATGTGAAACAATCTAGCAGTTCACGTTTCAACCACACCAAAAAAGACAACAGTGTAACTTGTCAGATTTTTGCAGAAATATACATTGTTTCCCCGCCCCTTTCTTCACTATCTTGATAGAAGTAGAAAAGGGAATCAGCTCAGACAGGCATACACTCTGAGTAAACCTAACAGGATGCAAGAGGCCATCTGAACTGCACTTTTTAAACCCACAGGAACCTCTTCTCTCTACCATGCCCAGACAATGAAGGCTCCTTCAGTCATGTTGATACAAAGGATCTTACTGTACATCCTTCTGGTAATGCTGGCGCAAAGCAACTACCAAGTTTACGGTAAGATGTGGTTTTATAATTTAACCTTCTGTAGTTATTAAACATTGCAGGGGGAGAACAGAAACCAAAGCAGTGCTTAGTGTACCTCAGATATAATCTGTGTCTTATTACTATATCAGAGATTTCTAATTCGATTAAAGATGATGATGATGCCAACAATTGAGAAATATTAGGTAACAGTCTAGACCAGAACTCTAGCACCTTGGGACCAAATACATCCTGCTTTGTGGCCAAAGGCTCTGCCTACAATGTTTGGCAGCATTCAAGCCTCTGCTATACATCCAGGAATCCTACTATCTCTGAACTGGATCCGGCAAATTGTCCTTACCAGATAAGTAAGTGTACCCTCAATCACTTAGCTTAACTCCATCTAATTTTCATCCCACTTTGAACACCCATAGCTTTTAATTAGAGAGATTGTCCTAATTTGGACTGATGTGAGAACTACACTGTGCCCAGTATACTACTATTATTTTTACTAGAGATTATTTTGTTTCAAGTTCTGCCCTACTATTATCATATAGGAGACGTAAATTTTAGTATTGAAAGGAAGGCAGCCATAGAGAAAGGATAATAGCTACTGTAACGGATGCACTCAACTGCTTTTGATACATTTCAGATATACAGACTGATAAACCGATCAAATTAGCATTTGTTATGAGGCACTGCTAAAATTACACAGACAAATAGAATTGGCTATGTGAAGCTTAGTTGACATGAGTGACTAACTCTACACATCTATAGCATCTTTTGATGTCCCTTGTTTTTATGAAGAAAATAAATTTTTAATACTGGTAGGAAAAGTTAAACAAGCATTCAGAGCATCTGCCTGGGAAGGGAAACCCTAACGTTTATCTTAAAAGACATGAATTACCAGGTCAGCTAAATGCAGCTGTTTCTTAATGAGGGTGTGATCTGAGCTCAGGGAGGCAACTGAACTGCTTTACATTTGATTTTCAACTGAATAGACTAACATGCTTCTGAAGGGGGTATATCTAGAGCTGATAACCTCCTTCATAGCCTAAATAGAAGTATCTTTTTTTTTTTTTTTTTTGGTAAGAATTAACTACTGTTTCTACTCCTTCATTAAATCTCCCTGTGTTATTAGTCCCTCACACAGTCACCTCTCTGCATCACCCTGTATAGCTCATTAATCCACTGACAAACACTCTATACTCATCTGCCAGTTTCTTAGATCCTGTTTTTAAAACAGAATATAAGTTCTGTTATTCTGCTTATAGCATGTATCTGGTTTACACATAATTTATTTTACTAGGTTTTATTTTTTGATCTGCATCAAAACTACTTGGGGTTCTCTGAGAACAATACTATTTCATTCTATATACCTACATTACTACAAATATCAGAATCATATTTACAGAAGTATTACAGAGAGAAAAGTTTTTCAAATCAGTCTTTACAGAACCCTGAGGTAGAAGTTTTTTTAATGTATTTAAATTTTAGCTGTAAGTTTTCTAAGCTTGTTTGTTTTTTATTTTGAAGTAAGCTTAAAATTGAAGCAAACTTATTTAAGCTTTGTATGTTGCAAATCTATCCGAAGTTTCCTTTACTCTAATAGAAACAGAGCTGACCACTCAGGTTTCATATACAAAGTCAATAACCAGCAAATATTTTTGAAATTAGAGAAGGAGAAGTAATCTTGTTTCTGGTAAGTCACAAAAGCAGAAGTACCTTCTCCTGCCTCACCCCAGTAATTTTAGTCCAATTAGACCCCATCTCCTTTGTAACAGGTTGTTCCCATCCAGTCTCACAAACAGTGGTTGTTGATGGCTGGTCAGCATAAGCAAAGGAAACAAAGCATTTCATCTCAGTGAAAATAAAGCCTATCAAACCTACCCTGGCTCCAAGAAGTCCCAGCCAGTAGCTCAGTATGTGCACACATGCTTGCTAATGGTGGTCACCATCCTCAGCTCTAATAACACCGTGCTGTTAGACCTTCTTGTGGGATAGCCTGCACATGCTAACATTCAGCTAAACAGAAATGTTCCATCTTCAAGTTTCAGTCATCAAAATATAAAGGCATGTTTTCTGCACTTACACAGCTTTCATCAAGAAGTGGTTAAAAAATGATGCAACTCTCCATCATCTACCTCAGCAAGCAGGTCAGCTTTACAAATACAACCATTGCCAGAAAAAAAAAAAAACAAAAAAAAAAACAAAAAAACCAAACACCACAAAAAAAAAAAAAACCCACACACAAAAAAAATGGAAAATCCTTCACTGTACACCAAGTATATAGAAAAAGTACATTAGTATATCTTTAAGATGACATAGGGAAAATTAAGTGAAAAGGATTAAAATTCAATTTCTATTAGCAAAATTACATTCTTTGAAAAATCCAAATTTTCATCTAAAAATGTAAAATTATAAAATTTTACATCATTCCTTTAAAAGCTTTCTCTCAAGCTGGGAGAACTCTGAAAAATGCCTATCCAGGTATCACTTAACATGTCTTCAGAAGTGCTTCTCTTTCTCAGTACACCTTTTCTAAACTCAAGGAGGTAGCATATTATTCCATGGGTTCTTCTCACAGCCCGCTAACTTTTTTGCTGTTAAAATTAACAAGTGAAGAACTCGGTGTTAAATGTGAAACCGCAAGAAAACAATGCACTTTCTGGTGCAGTTTTCGTGCTATGGCCCTAATCAAATTCTTCTCAGAACATTGGATTTGACTTAAAACCATTACTAGTCCTCTGCTGTTTTCACAGACCAACCCAAACATAGGATTCAAAACTAACCGTAGTCATTTAGAATAATTGACATGTTTATGCCTCAGCCATTATCCGCCTCAGGGAATGATACGTATGACTTGTATTCTATCCCATCCCTTGTTCCTTTTTTTTTTTTTTTTAAAGGGGAGAGGGAAAAAAAAAAAATAATTTAAAAAAATCATTTTAAAAACAAATGCCTCAGAAATTTCAATTAATAAGTCCTAATTTAGTGGAGTTGTTCTGAGTTCTTAGATGACCAGGTGTGAATGACAGCATTTATAATTCAAAGATTAGAAGGCTCAATTTTTAGCTATTATTTTTCTACAAATAGGTTGAGTTGGGTAAATGGAAAGCCATCTCCATTAAACCTTTTGTTCACTTAATGAATCATGTCATGACTATGTTTTCTACAACATGAGAAAAAAACCTGGGTTTTATAAAAGAAAGTATTGTCATGGGTATTTTGTTCTTGTACAAGTTATAGAATACATGCTTTCATTTGAAATCCTTATCCTGGCAGTACACTCTACAGAAGATTTTCCTTACCTGTGCAAAACAATTCTTGATACAACAGAGCCTGACTCACCGCAACTTGTTCAGAAACACACTCAAGTGTTCTAAAAGAAAAAGAGCTTTTAGTCAATCTGAATCTTACCCAGGAGTTTAAGTTTGAAGTTGATATATAAAGCTTCCCTGTGTTACAGATTCTTTTACCCTCCTGACAACTGCACATTCAGATACTCATCATGACCACCCATATACATGACATTGAAAACTTAAGACTCTTTATAAGACCTTGTAACTGGTTTTAGGTCTCGGCTTATAACAGTGTCAAAGAAAGGGTAATTAAATTTAACTCGGAAAGTGTTTGCACGTATAGAATGTAATTGGCAGACAGTGTCTCTACTATTGACTTCTCATAGGCACAGGAAGGCAGCAGACAGAAAAAAGTCAAGATAAATTCTCACAGGAAAAGTAAACCATGACATGTCTGTGCTTTCACTAAATGAAGTTTATTTCATATTTGTCTTTCTAATGACAACCAATGAACAGAAAAGATTCTCTCTCATTGTCAGATGCGTTGAATTTTCTTCCCCTTTTCAAAAAAAGCTATCACTCATTCTCTAGGATATTATGGTTTATATTGTTATTTAATCCCAAATCTTCACTGATACCTATTCCTAGCAAATGACCTTTACAGGAAATCTGTGAAAGATTTGTCTTGAGTATTTTATTCTTTATAAAAAAGGTCCCAAATATTTTAATTTTATTTTTTTTAATATTTTCTCCACTGCTTTTTAGAAACATAAAATTTCTTGCCAAGAGAGGTGTGATCTGGGAGTGATGAAAGATTAATTAGAGATTTTAGGGCATATTTATTATGAATTCCCATATTTAACTGCTAGAGAAAACACAGCTGGATTATAGGAAAAGGCTTTCTCTAGCCTAGATTTTAATTATCAAGGTTCAAAATAATTCTAACTAAGAATTTTCCAAAGCCTGAGGAAAATGTTTAACTCTTAATTATTCATCTCTTCTGATTATGTTGTTCTAGAAGTTCCCCAAATTGATGAGTAATACCATTTACCAAGGACTAGGTTTCTTTCTAACAAAAGTTTGAAAACCCTAAACCCCAAGTCATTCAGTCATCAGTCACTAACAAGTCACAGAAACATACAAAAGCAAATGTGATTATTTTTCATGCTCCAAACATTGTCTCATAACAACTAAAAAAATAATTAAAGGCAGACTAAAGTCCAATTGATTTAAGCCTCTGAAAGGAAGGCCGTTTTGCAGTCTCTGAAAATAGTCTACAAATTCTTGTACACACTGAAAGGCAAGCAGTAGTTTACATAGTTCCTAGTTAGGAATTTCAAAAGATTGCTCTATTTGACTAGTAGGAAAAAAAAAAAAAATCACTGAATAAAATAGTGGTGTTTACCTAGCACCCACAGGCTTCTTCCAAGGGATACACAAATGATAACTAAAAAAACTAAATCAGTTTTCAGTAAGCTAAATTTCTTCTATAAGTCTATACCTTTATTAGAAGAAAGAAAAAAAAGGGACTATAAACTAGAGGAAATGGAAGGCCAAGTGAAAGCCGGTAGCCTTACCCCACTTATTTTAAGAAAGAGAAAGAGGGTTTGTACCCTCAGGTTAATTGACAGCAGGCTGCCAAACACTTTTACCTGCAGCAGCAGCCAGAAGTGAAGGCTGAGCCAACAGGTGTGTGTAGACCAGCATCACGTAAACTTCTATTTGAAAGTA